CAATGATAGCATTGTGATACACGTAAGTACTGATGATGGATGCTGATATTTGTCCTGTAACTTTGAGCAAGTATGCTTTTTAAATCATTTTGAGAGAAATGGCTTTTGAGCCATTTTGCTTTGCTTTGCTTTCACATTGATGGTTGACTAAATGAGAGGACTACAATTGAAATTGGCGGGGTTGTTGTCATAAACAAAGTATGTGGGGTTACAGTTGTTAATTTTCATGGAAAAATCAACAATAATTTTTTGAAAAATTTTATCATTCTATCTTTTTTGCTATAAAAATAAAAATCTAGTTGAATTTAGATTTAATTTAAAAATATGATTATATATGCATAATTTTTCTAAAATAAATTACGTATTGGATTGTTGTGTAGTATAGTGATATTGTTTTTTCTCAATTGTTTTATTGAAAAACTATGTTAGTGTTTAATATTTATTTTGAAAAAGATTATTTTATATAAAAAAATATTATGTAATTTAGATTCTATGGAACTGCATAATGTTGATCATTGGATGTGGTATATCTCTTGATATTGTGGACTCTTTCTTTATCTAATAACTCTTTTTTTGTAGTTTGATACAATTTAAACCATAAAATAAAAAACTCTTACATATATATAATAACAATACTCCCAATGGGTTGGTTTAACTAATTAAAAGCATGATATTTCAAGTTAAAAAACTCATATTCAAATTATGAGTTGGATGGGGAGGAATTTAGAAAAAGGGGGAATTATCCCCTCTATGTGGTTCATCATCAGATGCACTACAAAAAAATAATTACAATTTTTTCATAAAAATCATAGATTTTATTGATAACTAATTAGGTTTTGTTTGAAATTACTATGAAGTATTGTCACTATAACTTGTAACTTTTTGACTATTTTATTATCACAAAATTGTGTTATTGTTTAATAATTGCATTGAAAATAATGTAATACATGAATATAATTACTAAATTATGCTAAATATCAACTAAAACTAATTTAAGCATAATCAATTATTACTTCTAAAGAAGTGTTTGTGAAAAACACTGCGAGATCATAACACCAAATGGAATCTAAAGAAAGTACATCAACCTTATCTATAACAAGTGCCTTATATGATAAAATGCAATTACCGATAACACTAGTATACAAAAATGTGCCTTATTCGAATAAATCAATTAAATACTGAGAGCTTCCCATATTAGGAAGTGTCATAGGGTTATTGACAATTTGACAGGCTAAAGAGAGAGTTACCCTCTTTGAGCAGCCTTAAATTTTATATAACTGTACTTGCAACACCAAGCAGCTGTTTGGTTGGGGTGATATTTTCTCTTCTAAACTTTTCTAAATTTTTTTAAAAGGTTATTTATATATTTTACACATTAATACTCTAATAAGAAAAGGTTAGAAGTGATATTTTTAATTTTTATTTTTCTTGATACAATTCTTAATTTGTAAACTTTTTCTCATACTTTTTAAAGGAAAAAAAGTTTTTTTTTTTCTAACTTTCTCTATGTAGAACCCATTCGATAATTTTTCTATTAACTTTTCTTATACCAATTTAACTATGAAACTTATCCAACTTTTTATACAATATGTTCTTTTAACTATTTTTCTAATAAAAAGTTTTTTAATAAAGTTGGTTTATAACCAAACATACCTAAAAGTTAGTGGAGAGCAATTAATCCCATAAGTGATAGTCCCAACTCACCACTTGTAGTACAGAGGTCATTATTTGAGAGTTTTCGTAATCCTTATAGCACCTCAACCATCTCTTGCATATAAATAGAAGAGCCAATGACAATGCTGTGACACCTCGAATCCCGCATCAAGATAGTAGTGTTAATATAATCAATCATTACTAATAATTTAAAAGGCCGTTTTTAAGAGGCAACCAATCTAACCCCATGGTTTCTGTCCAAGCAAACTCCATGATTTCCACTTCCTTTTAAGGGAATCAAATAGAGTTACACTGTTTGGTCTTCAAATTAACACAATCCAAGCAAATTGTACTGACCTTTCCATCTGCACAACAAGCGTAGCCTCAAGCCTTGCTTGAATTAATCTCAATCGTCTCCGCCCTTAAGCTGCTGTCTCCGACAAGGTTTTATACTTCAAAACCAGCAACCATCCAAAAGTCATCAGCCGCCAAATACCAACGTGCAGTCGACCCATTACCAACCCGCAAGAGAAGGTTTTATGTTTTTTTTTTTTTGGATTTTAATTGATATAATCAACAAAGGGATAAGAAAGATAGGGATCAAAAGAAGAAAAAGCAGGGAGAAATCTTCTCGAAAGAAATCCTAGAGGTGAGAATTCACACGATGGGGGAAGGAAACCCTAACCCTAACTTTTGGTGGCCATAATTTTTTTTTCTTTTCTATAATTGCATCTTTAAAATATATGATTACTATTAAAATTGTTTTTTTTTTTTTATGTTGCACAATAAAAAATAATCTCTTCATCTTATAACATACTTCACTTACATTAACTTAAATTTAATACCTCTTTACTTTTATTGATGTAAACGTCTAGTAATAACAATATATTCTTTGAGATTTTATTTTCCTATGCATTTTTCTTTGCTTTTAGGAATGGGAGTTAAAATTACCCTATTTAAACTTTAAAATGGTTTTTTAATTTGCAATCATTTATTGTACTTTTTTTTTGCATAATTAACATTAAAAAATAAAAATTAATTTTAATTTTAATAATTATCTAATTAATTAATTCAAAAAATAATAATTTTGAAATTAATGTTAATTTTTATATAAATTAATACTAAAAAATTATAATAAATACATCATTAACACCTTAAAAAAACCCAATTTAAAATTATCACTAATTATTAGGAATAAATTATAAACCACATGACTCCATAAAAGAGAGTGTCAAAAGAAAGTCTCATATCATATCTAGCATTATTTGGAGAGAGAATAAAGCCACCATCCCTAAGCTACAAAGTAGAGTTATAAAAAGTAATAATAATTAATTAGTAATAATGAGGAAAGAAAGTAAAACCACGACAAATAAGCGTAATTTGTCCTAAAACCATTGAAAACACAAGGGAAAAATGTGAAAACCATGTATTACAAAGTTCCGGGGCTTGCTCTATATTAATATTATCTCTCTCTTTGGTTGAGTCTTACTCGTTACACTTGGAGTAACGCGAAATTGTCATTGGATTTGTTTACCTTAGCACAGTAAAGCCAAGTCAACTGTTCTCAAATTAAAAGTTTATCATACTCTGCCGTACAATTTAGAATTTGTTTGCTAGTATTACATTGTGTTATAGTTATAGGTTTTTTTTTTAAAAAAATTTTATTATCTAAAAGTATATAAAATAATAGAGAAAAATTAATAAAAATAATCAAAATTAATATTTCTTCCATCATAAAGTAATTATTGTTTTTTTCTATTTTGAGTTTGTCTCAAATTAATTGTTGTTTTATTATGGAGTATTTTTTAAGATAAATAAATATTTTTTCTTTACTTTAACCATTTTATTATCTATTTATTTTGATTAATTATCTTATCACAAAAAAATCTTTATTTTTCAATTATTTCTTAAGAGTAATATATGTAAATATATAAATGATCAAAATTCTTAATTTAGAAAAAAAAATAAAAATAACAGTTATTATAGGGTAGGGGGAGTAAATAATTATAAATTTATATTTTTTAAATAAGGTGCTCAAAAAATATTTATAAAAAATACTAACAAGAAGCCTTATCTGTCCTACTTTTTGCATTTATGTTTTATTACAATAACTAGGATTTATCTTTCATTTTTTTACCCTTACCATTAAGTAAAAAAATCTCAACACATTTCTATAAAATAAGAGTAAAATTGAAATACTAACATTAAATGTCAACATAAAATGTGATAGCTAAATTAGACTACTTCTATTTAAAAAATAAGACAACTAAATTAGAGATTCAGCATAGAGAAAGTATAATATATATTATCTATATTTTAAGTTTTAAACAAGCTTTGTTCATGATAAAGTCCTGAGTTTTGTTCGTAAAGGGGATCCAAACTTGTTTATTGAGCAAACTGTAAGCAACCTAATTCATTTACAACCCTAATTATAAGGAAAGGAGAAAAAGAAAAAGAACCAAAACAGACGGCAAAAAGTCTTCAAGTCATAAGTTAATGACTTAACCTTAATTTTGTTTTAAAAAAATTGAAACAGTCAGAATTGTCGTACGTTGAAATAAATTACCATAAAAAAATATTTATATAATTTGTCATCGCAAAATTTATTTCAAAATTTTTTCTAAAATTTAACCGTTACTGTTAAATTTTGTTGAATTAATGTTTTTAAAGTCTAATGCAAAATTAATAATAATTGTTAAATTGGACATGATTTCTTGAAAATAAAAATTTAAGGTAACAAATCATGTCAATTTTTTTTTAGACGGCAATTTGTTTAAACGTAATAATTTTATAGGGAATTTACAATTCTTGCCCTTTGAAATTAATCAATTTCAACAATTAGGACTTTAAACTTTGGACCAATAATAAACTTCTCAAAGTGACTTTCATTAATTCCCTTTACCATTCAATTGTTGCACTTAAGATATAAGTAATATTCCCTTTATTTTGGTTTTGGGTCTGTGATTTTGAATTTTAAATTTTCATATTTTGCTAAATGAGAAAGAATGATGATTGCTTGAATAAAAAGCCTAGAAAAGAATATTAAATCCAAAAGCACCAAATTTAGTCCATCTCAACCTTCACATTAATTGATTGAAAACTATTAAGTATGGTTGGTTACACGACTCTTTCTCTTAACTTTTAGCTTTAACTAAGTGAAAGGAACATCGTGCTAGTAGTGGTGCTAGGGCTAATTTGGGACGAAGGTAAGTGAAGGGGGTTGACTAAAACAAATAAATTAGTTGGGAGACCAATCTTAAAGTTATTCCAAAAGAAAAAAAATGTCTCCATAGCAAGTCAAGCAAGAGCAATTTCAGTCATTGCCCCTCTTGGCCGTTGGCGGTCAAGTCGTCCCCTTGCTTGGAAAAACACGAGGGAGGCTATTGCCTCTTTGACCCGGCAAAGCACTCCTTTCTTTCAATTGGGAACAACCGGGAAACCAGTCCCAGTTCACACCCTAATTCACCTCCTCACCTCTTTTTCTCTTTTGGGTTCTGATCTTTCCCTTCAATTCTTGCTTTTAAATATTCAGATCATGCTCTAGACTTTGCTTTATCTCTGTGGACTTCTGGGGTTTCTATTTATCCGTGGAAAAAGGGTGATGCTTCCTCGTTATTTTGAAGTCGT